CTGTGGCAGGCGTCCCACATACAAAAAACAGGAAGATGGGCATGAATGTTAGCTCAGGGCCCATCTTCCTTAGGAAAAAGAGGAGGATTGGCGGCAGATGTTAGCTCAGGGCTGATCTTCCTCAAAAAAAAATAAATAAATAGTAAAGCACCGCCAAAAATTTTAGGAGTATTTTAATTCCTTACATTAGCAAATCATGCTACTAAAATAATGCAATGCACTGTAATTATAGTACTCACACTATACTTGTGGAAGTTATTGTAATTTAGTCTTAATATCCTACGGGTGGTGTATTACAGTACAGTTGGCCCTCCTTATTTCCAGGTTCCCCACCCATGGATTCAACCAACCATGGATCCCAAGGTCTGACATGGTTGTGTCTGTACTGAACATGTAGAGACTTTTTCTTGACATTTTTCCCTAAATAATACAGTATAACAACTATTTACAAAGCGTTTATATTTTATTGGGTATTATAAGTAATCTAGAGATGATTTAAAGTATACAGGAGGATATGCACAGGTTATATGCAATAACTACACCATTTTATATAAGGGACTTGACTATCCCCTGACTTGGGTATGGGGGGTGGTCCCGGAATCTATCCCCCACGTACATCGAGAGACGATTGTAACTAGAAGTTTCAAATTGGGTGATGAGCATATTTTTTTTACTTCTATACATGTAATTTTATGACTTTATTACCTCACTTTAAAAATCTTCACGAGTATACCAATTAATGCTCTTTGTAAATGTGCAACATGGAAAATTTCCCATCCTGTGGGAGGCTCTGAGCTCAAGTAGGCACATAGCCAAAGAGATGGATGTATCTGGGTGCATTTTGTTAATCCTCATCGCTCTTTATACTAATAGCATACTTTGACGTGTTCTTCCACTGTTCACTCTGCAATGCTGTCTCACTTCCACTCAGGCAGGCCCTCCTACTAGGGAGAAATCAAGAAGATTGGACTTAGAAGTAGGTATAACCAACTGAAAACTGGGGCGCAGGCCAAGATCGTCTTTGGCACATTGAGGTATTTGCTTAATTCATAGGAGAATTCTCAAGCTTTGTGAATTGGAAGGGACTCTGCTGTCATCTAGGGTCACCCACTGGCACAACATACACTTGAGGAACTGAGACCTGAGCGGGGTTCGCCAAGTTTTCAATCACGAGACGCCCCTGTTGTTTTCCAGTGCTCCTTCCTCCTCACCACGGCCCCCACTCAGAAACTGTACTGCACATTAAAGTATCATTGTCCCCTGTTCAACAGCAATCCAAGCTTGAAGGTGAGGAGTGCACTTGCAGAAAGTAGCCATAGGGTGATGAAGAATTCGGCAATAGTTTTTATTTTCCAAAAAGCCCCTGACATTTGTACTGCCTGAAAAATTAGAGAACTTAGAACACAAGGGGAGGAAGAAAAACAATGAGGTGTATTGAACAGGAGACAAGAAAGACAACAGCAGACCAAGTCAGGGCTTAGTTTTGGTGTTGACCTCCTGGTGGCAATTGCCTCCAATTCAGGCCGGTGAAGGTCAACAGAAACGTCGACAGCTGCGTGGGCCAGTGTCTAAATAGGGTGTTTAATTTTAATTAAGTCTGTTATTAATGCATACGTAGGCCCCATTCTCCAGCAATGAATTAAATTTCCTTTTTGCGACAAATTAGCTATTTAGTTTCTCCCAAAAGAAGACAGGCCTTTCAGGAGTCTGCTTGAATATGGCTCATATTTATCTTTTGTTAACTCTCTTCTTATAATTTATCAACAAAGAACGGATGAAAAGGAATCTACCCAAGTGTGGTTAGTAACATGTCCTTCTCTTCCTATGTGTTATCCACGGATGGAACAGTGGGAGGGAGGCCGGCTGCATCCTTAGGTATTTAGGATTTGTCCTTTATGTATATAACCAAGTTTATTTGCAGCCCCTCATGTCCATTCTCGCTAGCTTGGTCTTTTATACTTCTCCTCTCAAAGTGCCTTACCCTGAATATATTGGAGGTTTTGTTAATTCAGGAATATGCTTCAGAATCCCCACATCTACAGTTTGGCCATGCTATTCTTGGATCAGCCAGCTAAATAATGCCATGTAACAAGCCATTCCAAAACTCATGGCTTGTACGCTAAGCATTTACTTCTCACTCATGTGCCTTTGGGTAAGCTTGGGTTCAGCTGATCTAGGTCAAGCTTGACGGGGCTTAATTCCAGACCTCAAGGTAGGATCAGACACTTCATATAGTTCTCACTTTTCTCATGCATAAAATGGAAATGTTATCTCAGTTTTTCTTGAAATTGAAATTTTATGTTCTACACATGTGATGTTTGACTGTACCATTGACTGCTATGCAAGCTCAGCCTTGAGTCTCTCTCTACACTGCGGTGCTTTTAACTTGTGGAGTTTTTATTCTAAAAATGTACAATAAAGACTATTTTGAAGATTGGAATAAAATGATGAGGTTGCATTATACCTCAAAACAAAACAAAACTGGTCATTATGTAAGAACTGGACACATCAGAATACTGTCAAAATGAGGCATTCCCACTCAGTTACTATAAAAATAAAGTTCTGAAGGCTCTGACATGTGATAAATGTCTAATGTCCTGGATAGATTTAAATGAGAAAAGGCATAACGTGTGGAGGAACATAAAAGCTACCTTTACATATTCAGTTGAGCAGTGCATGGAAATACGTTTAAAACATTTTATGCTACTCCAAGGAACAGAAGTATAATCACTGGTTATAAGATACAAGGAGACATAATTTTATTGTTTTCCACTATAAAATAAACGAGAAGGGTTGCCATTTATTTTCATCAATGAAGGCAATAATCAAAGTCACACCTGCCATCTTGTAACAGCAAGGTTATGAAACCATAAAGCTGGCAGCCAACGTTGAGATCATACATCTATGAAATAAAACGTTGACAGACCCGCTCCCCACCGAGGCTGAGGAGGGTCTGAGTCCTCGTGATGCTGGGCCATCTCTTTCCGAGAGGAGGCTCTCCAAGCATCTCTGAGTGGGATTGACTCTCAGGAACTTCTGTGAACAGGAATAAGTTTACAAAGGCACTGGTAGAAGCTTGAGTACTATTTTATATTTGCCACTTCCTGGTCTTTGAGAATAATGAATCTGTCAGCTTTTACCTTCTTAGGGACTTCAGACCTTCAAAATCACCAACATCCCTTGATAGTCAGGACTTTAGTGCAAAGACGTAAAGGAAAGAGCACTGTGGAGAAAAGTTATCAAATGGATAACATTCATTTCTTTTTATTGATTCCACAGTTCCCTAGATTCAGTTCAAGTTCAGTTCCCTTTGAGCTGGTGGGCAGAACAGACGGGGGGATGCATCCAAAGGGCGGGCTCTTTGGATTTCATTGACTCATAGACCTCCTGTTCTGTAAGAACATCAAGTATCATCCAGCCCTAGTGTTTCCAAATCTGAGTGCCCAGACGAACCACCGACTGTTTAAAAATTACCAGAGGAGCTTGTTAAAACTACAGATTTTTGAATATCCTTTAACCCTAGCCTACTGGGTCAGAAACTGTTAGAATAGATACTGTTATCTGTTCAAATTTCTCTTAAGATGATTCCAGTGACAACCAAGTTTGAGAAGAACTAACCTAGTCATCATTTTAAAATTGAGCATATGGAGGCCCACAGAGATCCAATGATTACGTGTCTAAACTGGGACAACAAACGTGGATTTGGGTGGCCCGGGGCAAGGGTTTCTTAATTATAACTTCTAATTCAGAGGTCTTGCTGCCTTTTGATCTTTCTTATCTTTAATTTTGTGAATGCATCAACATCAGACATCATTTTTTAAAGTACTATGTATAGTTCTTAACATAACGTACACACACATACACACTCCACAACCATAAACACGTTCCCAGGTATAGGCAGGAACTTGAATAGTCAGATTTGTGGAAAAGACAATGAAACAATGGCAGAGAGATAATAAGGGATGTGTTCATTTGCTGTCGAAAAATAAAGCTCATTTTACACAGAGTGAAGGAGGGATGTGTCACCAGGGCAAGAATCAGTTCACATAAGAATGGCACGTTTGTCCAGAAACAAACACAGCTGGAAATCAGGTTAGGTCAGTCAAGGAAGCAACGATAAATGGCTCACTGTCTTCAGAAAAGCTGCTTGTTCAAACATTGGGGGAAATACAGTTTCTGAATCATGTTTCAGTAAATTGTATTTACCCTGTTGATCAAGTCGTAGTCACCTATTCATGACAGATGTCTTTGTTTTCATTCGATTTCTTTAGTTTTTCCTATTAGTCACTTTACATTAATAGGGACTGCTGGCTGCAGACGACGAGAAAAGATTAGTGTCGGCAGAAGCATATTAATGGGATGTTACAATTAAAATGAGGATCTTAGAGGTAATTTTTCCTCCAATTTCCTTATTGTTTGGGTAAAGAAAATGAGCTCTAGAGAGAGGAAAATCTTTTTCCCAAGACCAGAGGATGAGAACCGGTCTTTGTTTTTTAAGCCTGTGCTTTCTCTTTCACATGCTACACACACCTCCCCTCCCATTCCAACCTCACCAGGTTTAGTTTCCACGAGTTTTGGAGGACTTAGAATGCTTTAGCTCGGATCCCTGTCATTTTTCATACGACATATACATACTGAGTGCTTAGTATGTACCAATCACAGTTCTAAACACTAGAAAACAGCCTTAAGTACTTCACAGTAAACTCTCATTCTTTACAGAAAATAACAAAAAGGCAAAAATGAGGAGGAGAAAATAACAGTGCTGAGTATCATCATGCTGAGTTTCTGAGTTTAACAAGATTTCTCTGGCCTAGATATTTCAGAAAATCATTTGATTATGAAATATGAGAACAAGTATAATAATGCATAATACTTTACTTCTGTAGAATGCGTCATTCTCTCATTTGTTCCTCCGAGAAAAAAACCTGTGAGGCTGTTATTATTGCCTTCCTTGTACAATTGAAAAAAATTTAAGATCATCCCTGTTAGATTACCTCCAACTATTTAGCATTAGCCTTCCAGAAAACCTTCCCGCCCCAGACTTTCTTCATTGCATTCTTTACTTCTGCATTTCTCAGTGTGTAAATCAAAGGATTTAACATGGGGGTGATGATGGTGTAAAATATAGCCACCATCTTATCCTCTGAAAAGGTGGTATCAGGGCGCATATACATGAAAGTACAGGGACCAAAAAAGATGATGACCACAGCAATGTGGGAGCCACAGGTGGAGAGAGCTTTGCGCCTGCCTTCTGCCGACTGCTTTCTCAGGGACACCAGGATGATGGAGTAGGAGATTAGCAAGATAACAAAGCTCCCTAGAGCGATGGTACCGCTGTTGGCTGTCACAACAACACCAACAACATACGTGTCTGTGCAGGCAAGTTTCAGCACAGGGTGGACGTCACAAAAGTAGTGATCAATCTCACTGGGTCCACAAAAGGGTAGTTGGACCACCAGAGCCACCTGGATAATGGAGTGCAAGAACCCACCTACCCAGGTCCCCAGCAACAGTTTATTGCATCTGTCCTGGTCCATGATGGTCATATAGTGCAGGGGTTTACAGATGGCCACATAACGATCATAGGCCATCACAGTCAGGAGGAAGATCTCGGTGCAACCAAAGAAATGCACCCCAAAGAGTTGCAACATGCACCCCACATAGGAGATAGCTTTCCTCTTGGCTAATAGGTCAACAATCATCTTAGGAGCTGTGACTGAAGAGTAACAAATGTCCACAAAAGACAAGTAGCTGAGAAAGAAATACATAGGAGACTTGAAAAGGTTGCCCACGTAAACTGTCAGCATGATGAGGAGGTTTCCTAGAAGAATGACTATGTAGAAGACAGAAAACACTACGAAACAAACTTCTTCAATCTCCAGGTTCTGAGAAAGACCCCAGAAAATGAATTCAGTTACATTGTTTATTTTTTCCATGGAGTTAGTCTAGGAGGCCAAGTTCCCAAGAGACAATTGAATTATCTGGAAGAAAAATATAAGAAGAACCAACCACATTTATTTCTAACTCAAAACAAACAGATAATCACAATAGTTGAAGACGGAAAAATGGATATTTACTGCTGCTTGGCATGCATATTTAAAGAAATTGAAGTGCACATATTCCGATCATCTTCCCTCCATATGATGGTCCATTTATTCGCTTCAGATGAGGCAACAAAGTCCGGTGAGATAAAGCAAATCCCCTAAGTCACGCATCTAACCAAGAGTCCTAACTTTTATTAAGGTTTTTCCATCTGTTTGTTTCTAAAACTTTACTTAGTTCTTATTCTGTATAAGACACTAAACTAATTTTGAAACAACCTCTGTGTTTGGGGATATGGCAACAGTTTTCTATCTAGAAAAGTTCATCTTATTTTGACACAGAAATATGAACATATGCCTGCATTTTCCCTTCTGAGTACTGCCACGAGTGTTCAGGTAGTTGAGGCTAGGTGACCTCTGTTGGCTCTTCTTCTTATGAAACTTGGATCTTTGTGTACATGACTTTATGGTCTCCTATTTGATATCAAGCTCTTATAGTCAAGAGGTGCTGTGATGTATTAGAAAGAGAACCAGAATTATAGGAACATGTGATTCTGAGATAAAGGTGCTGTAACTCTAGATAAATCATTTCATTCACGGGACTCTGTCATCCCATTGTGAAATGAGATAGTTTCAATTTCACTATCACCTATCATATTAACAGCTATTTCTACCATGAATTAAATCAATTCTGTCAGCATGGAATAGCCATAAAACTCTGATAAGGAGGCAGAAACGAGAGAAGATAAAGCAATAAAAGAAATTGGTGGACACACAGCAGGATCTGTTGGATTTGAAAGGAGGGGAAAGGGAGTCTCAGGTAATTTCTCCATCTTTAAACTCGGTGTATGAAGATTCCCTAGGAAATATTTTGCCTTAGCATTTTAAAGATTTGTCTGTTAATTGAAAGAAAGAAAAACTCAGCCCTTTAATCTCAACATTCCTTCACGCATCCTTTTAATCTTTCAAATTTCATGCTGGTTTATATTAGTTCTCCCACTTAGAATGAATTAAATAGTTCTGGAAGAGGTCATCACTGAAAGATCATTTAAATGGGTTTAGGAAGAGGACAATATTTAACTTCAATGGATGAATCTTCAGTCGTGGAATTTGAGGTACTCTAACGGGGTCACTGGGATGTATGTGTGGAAAGGGGTATGTAGAATAGTTTTGATTAAAGGGGCTTACAAGCTATTCCTCAAATCAAGCCACACATCTAAATGACTCCTTTAGTTATAGGTTAGGACAGGATTACACAGCATCCTAGATAATCATTAGGAATTGTGTCCACCTGAGGCCACATCCCCTCAAGGTCTGTCAAGTTTACTGCTTACAACTCCGATTGAACTCTGTGCTCAGCTGTCCCTTTGTGGTGACATTGTTCCTGCCACTGCCGGCCTTTGGGAACATACAGGGCTGTGTTTCCTTGGGTCTGTATGTTAGAGTCGATAGAGCAGTCACCACGGGTGTGCCTCCTCTTTTACAAAATAATGTTAATAATAATAGTAATGGTAATAATAGTAATAGTGATAATCAAAATTCAGACTCAAGTACACCCCTCTGCTATTTTCACATGTTCATTCCCCTCTGGTTTTTCCTTCTAACTTAAAAAAAAAACATGCTATTCTCACTGAGACAGCCCTTCAATTTAAGAGAGCTCAAATCATAACAGTTTTTGACAACCATGAGTTGTGCTGCTTGGTTTTCATTTAGAAGCGGCTTGAGAATTGTGCTTTCATCGTCCACACTATAGGTCCTGGAGGAACTCTTCTTCTTCCTTGAATCAAGACCCATCTCAAAGAATTCCTCCCTCCACTTTCTGACCACTTCAAACATGATGATGCCTTGATTTCTTTTGAAGTTTTTGGCATTTTCTTATTCGCCGTCATGCTACCCTATTTCATAGCCATGTATAGATGCGCTTTATCTTATCAGCATCCTAATCATTTTATCTTCCTCTCATTTCTGAGAACGGTATCTTGCAAATTATACGACAGGCATTAGAAAATATTACACTATATATATTACAAAATATAGAAATTTGATTGAATTCCACAAACGTTTTATATTAGTTTTAGGACAAAAAAAAATTCTCACCAATATTTTCCAGGGCTTGAGTTTTGCTTTATTTTCTTCTCTCCCAAAATAATTTGGGTGCAGCTGTCCAAAAGAAAGTAAGAGTGATGCCTTAGGAATTGCTTTACAAATAGTTAGTACCAGAGAATCCTCAGCCCCAGAAACTCAAAGGTTGGGAGAAGTTGAGTCTTTGTCGTTCCTGGGTCTCTCTCCCCTGCCAACATCTGCCATTCCACCGTATCTTCAGCAAGAAATGCTCTTCTCTCTACCCCTTAAAAGGTCTGTTTAAAGAGAATGATGCAAAATGTTAATGACCTCAGGGGAAGCCTTTCCCTCAGTCTCCCTCCGTAATCAGAGCCACGTCAGAAAACTAACAATGAGCTTTAATTTCTAGCTGTCTTTTCAATTTGTTAAAAAATATTAAAAATTTTTCTTTATTTGCTAAATTTAAAAGCCAATCAATTCTTCCATTTAGGACCACAACACTAATCCAAAGTATTTCAGGAAACAGAAGTAATTGTTTTATGATTGCATATCTTATTCATTGTATTAATATGTTTCAAAATATATATTTAATATTAGATACTTAATATAACATATATATTAAAATATCTCTTTTTGTGGTATTTCCCAATCGAATTTTAATTATTCTACTCTTTTGAAAATTCTATTTGATCGGAAGATAGTGGATTCAATAGTGTCATTTGGGGTTCACTGCTTTTCCTTTTAATTGAGTCTCTGCTGATTTTTGGAGAAACTGATGAGAAGTTCACTTCCAGCCGGTACCCGGGATGAATCATAGTGCACTTCCATCTTTTATTTTTTGGTTGTAAACCATTAAGGTTGATTCTTGACCGCTTATATTCTTTCTCATTTTTTCCCATCTCTACTCTTTCCTTTCCCCTCATTCTTGCTTTTATTTCTTTTGCCTATCTACCCTGATCTCACCTCCTCCTTTTTTCATACAATGTCCAAAAAATCACACTCTTAGAGGGAACTTATGAGCTGTCCACCACTTGCTACTAAGCACAGCTGATTTCTTGATCCACTGGACCTTCTAAGAGAGGCTGCAGGCTCCTTTTCCAAACCATCTGTATATAGCTAGAAACGGGAAAAATGTATCCATTGACTCCCTTTTCTCACTGGCCCAAGTTCACCCCACAGTGGGCCATTTTCCCTGCAGTTTCTGGCCATGTCCCTGGACCCTTCCTGAAGTTGTAGGAGAAGACAGAGTCCAAATTAGCATCAGGGGTGTTCATCGCAGGAGGCAAGCTTGATGGGAAAGTCATTGGGCACATTTAGGCAACACTCATGTCACACAGTATCTGCCACCCCAGGAGCAACAGGGAATCTCCGAGGAAGGATTCCAGAGGTACCCACATGGGTGTGAGCCAAGGTCCTTTCAAGTCAAGCCGATGAGTGGCCAAACTAGTTTCCAGGGGTCTCTTCATCTATGGTCTCTTAATATCATGGTGAAGTGCAGGGCTTTGCTAGGGCGTCTCTGGTTACAAGCAAGGCAAGTACAAGAATCTGGGTGATTCTTCGTATAAATAAAGTCCAGCACAGTCCACCCTTGTGACACTTACATCTGTTTGAATTTTCTAATGATATTGAGGTCTTGTTGGAGAGTGAAATATATCACCTTCTTCCATGAAAGGAGAGGAGATCAAAGTTACAAGTCAACTTCCTTAAGGATGTGGCCATTTCTAGTTTCCTCAGAAGACTTAAAGTGGGTGAAAAAATCAAGTTCTGTTCCCCAGTGCTGCAGCTGTTCTGAGGGCTACAGCTGATACTCCCCACCTTACTCCTCCAACCATCAGGCTTGGTCTCCCTCACATTCAGTTGTTAGTTCTCAGTTGCTTGACAGCTCTGGTGACACTCGCCTTCACCCAAAAGGGACGTGATTCTTTCTTGCTTTGCTCGTGTCAGTGGATCCTACTGAAAACTAGCAGTCTCCCTAGTCACCTAACAAATGATTTGGAGTAGCACCCCTGTTACAGGCTCAACATCAGCCCCGATATCAGTTCCCCCACATTGAACCCAGCGGATATGGGGTTAAAACTAAAACCCACCACCCCCTTTCCTGCTTCTCTAGCTCCACTCACATGTAAATACCTGTTTGTTTAAACTTGGACTCCTTGAGCTTTACAACTAAATGGGAGTTACAAATTGTTAAAAGCCCAGGTGGCCTGGAGTTGGAGGCACAGTAAAGTTTAGCTAATCATGTCTCCTTGAAGTTTGCCAGGAAAGCCCCTGTCTCAAGAATATCAAGGAGCGGGGGCTTCCCAGACCTCAACTCCTCCGACTCCCGGGCTTGAACCCGCCTCAAACAGGAAGACGAGACAACGGTGAAGGACGCACACCTGCCATCCTCCTATCTCACCATGCGGCACCCCCCCCCCCCCCCCCCCCCCCGCCCCTCGCCTCGCTGCAAGCAGCCTCTCAAGGCCAAACGCAGGCTGGTGGAAAAGAACCGACTGCACAAGCTACATGCGCCCCCTCCCCTACCCAAAACCCCAAATAAAAATCCCTACCCATTCCTCATTGGGGAGTTAGCAATTTTTGAGGCATGAGCCCTTGCTTTGCTCCCTGTGCCTGGCATAGTAAAAACCTTTCCTCTTCCACTCAAGACTCTGTTCTCGTTATTTGGATTGGCATTGCGTTCAGAGACCGAACTTTCGGTTACACCCCCACGTACAATATATGTTATCTCCAAAATTTAAAGGCCCATCAAGTTCTGTGTCTCTTTCCTGGTGGTAGGAGATGTAAACAGAAAACATTTTTTATTGAGAGAATCTCTGCATCCTCCAGACCACAGGACTCCTAAGAACTCT